AGTTTAACTGAAGCGATTGTTAAGCACAAAGTGTACCCCTCTGACAGTGACTTTGAAGATGTAGCAGAAGCTCTTGTATCGTCTCATCTATGTTTGAAAGAACCAGGCTCTACCACTGGATATGACGGTTGGAAGATGAGCTTAAAGTACAAGCTTGCCAACTACAGACGGAAGCTGAAGCGGCTTGGATGGCCAGAGGTTGAACTAAACTCCCTAAACAATAAACCTGCAGACAAATGTAGTCCTCCTTTTGGTGTTAAGAAGCCAAGAAAGGCTGAGGTGAATTACTGCCCCACCTTCCCATCTGGTGAGTCTGTAGAGACACTTGAAAAGATAAGAGAGACCCTTCTTTTGGAAGTAAAGAAAAGGAACAATGAGGACACAGTGGCAGCCATGATGGACAAAACCTTTGCACACAGAAGGCAAGAAGTTGTTCGAGATTCACCCATGATTGCTCATTTGAAAACAAGATGGCCAGCTCTCTTCTGTGTATGTGAGGTAAGTAAATAAATGCACAGCGCTCGTTTGCTTTGACTGGAACATGTTATATTCCAGTAATATGTACAGTCAGCTAAGTAGGTATGGGGAAATTTTGCAATCTGCGACAGATGTTTAATGTGATGATATTTCTTGCTATAAACAAATATTTCAAGTGTGTGTAATAGCTCTACAGTTTCTAAGTCTCTCTGCATTACAATTTTTTTTTTACACCCCAAACATTATGTTGCTCCTTGTTTAAAAAGAAATTTAAGGTGATATTATTTTTTTTTAATTTCCACTATCTTCAATGTTTTAAAGAAAATTACATAAAGGGTATAACTCTTAATTAAAATTGAATGTCCCAAATAATAGTAATATTCAATAAATCCACAGCCCTGCAGTTTTAGTCCAATTTTGTCAACAAAAACTCAGGTGCTAGTCCAGTTATTAGTAAAAAGTTATTACATTTTATTCAAAGAACGGTAATTGGGTTGGTTGTCACAGTGTCAGAGTGTCTTTAATGGTTACTAACTCTCCATTTCAAAACAATAATAGTTTACAAGAATGAAAGGGATGGGCTACTTTAACAACTAAGGATTTCAAAAGACTGCAGTATGATGAATTGCTGACGAGTAATCACTGTTATCACATTTTGCGTCATGTATTTTGCTGTCAAAATTAAAACTGATCCTGGGGATCCACCTGATTGGTCAAATGCTGCTTGTTTACCAAAAGTATAGCTCTGGTGTGGGTGTGGGTGTGTATGTTTAATTTCATTTCCTCTCAGGCGTCTCTTGCAACAAGTTCATCATGTATGTTCATTTTCCAATGACGATTAATGCCGTTAAACCTTCAGGCCCAATTTACACTGTGCTACATATGAGCCTGACAAAATATGAGCAAGCCATGAAATTAACTGGTAAACTGATTCAAGATTTGGTGAAAGATGACAATTGTTTAACTAAATAGATGCTTCAGTGTCATGATTTATAAACTTGCTTCTGTGTTAAGGTAACTGCAGAATTCAAGAGGATTGCAGCAGTCAGTCTGGTGTCGAGGTTCTTCTCTGGGCTGGACTCTTCAGACTTTATCAGAGTGTTTGGCAAGAAAGGTGGCACTCAAGGAAGAACGGTCAGGAGCATAATGGTTCCCTTATTCCAGGTTTGGTAATAGAAATTATAGACTGTCAAACTTGTACCGCTTTAATACCTTCAATTTTGTTTTTAGAAAACTTGACATTTAAAGAGAAGAAATTGATTAGATCAGATTTTTAATTTGAAAAGTTAGGATTTAAACTTGAAAATCTTTATGGGAAACTGGGGTGACTTACCAATGCTTACATACTTTGAATTAAAGAAAATGTTGTTCGTACAATGTTGTATTATGTTTGTTACATCTACTCTCCTCATTATTTAAAACGGGGTTCCTTATTTTTTATGTTTTGTGGCATACTTTCACTTTGAGACTCCGCAGACCAACATCATTGATGTCAAAAGAGAGTGTATCCTCAAAGCCCTGTGCGTGTACCTCAACGAAGAGCCCGAGAAGCTGGTGAAAGATTACATGGTATGGAATTTAGTTTTTGTCCTCCAGGCCTTACTCTGACATTTGTCATTCACTAAAAAAAGACAATGCAGTTATAGTCTTTGACTATGTAAAGTCAATGAATAATAGCTGTTTACAGTTGTCTTGTTTACATTTATTAAAAGGGACTAGTATAACATGAATGAAAATTGTCGTCTTTATTTTTTCCTTTTTTTCGCCCCCTACAGGACGCAGATGTTGAACGCAATCAGGCTGAAATGAAGGAGATGATCTTTGGAATCTATGCCATTCGAAAAGAGGGTGCAGAGCCAGATGATAACCCAGACGATGTGGGTATCATCTTGGAGGGTGTCCAAGTTCTGGATGATTTAGGGAATGTCCCATTTGCTGTTGCGATGCTGTTCGCTCTGGTCTATGCACTCAACCTAAGCTACCCTTCAGAGCTAAGATACACCTTCGAAGCTCTGCAGAAGATCATCATGGAGCTTGATGGAAACCGACTCTCAAGAAAAGCTCAAGCAATGAAAACCCTGCTTTCACGTACGTGATCCACTGTAGAGTGACCAAAAGGTCAACTGTTGCTTTTTGCGAGAAAGGATTTTGGCTTGAAATGTTTCTCAGAAACTAAAAATGAACAGAGTATTTTCAAAAGAAACTATTGCATATAGATTTAGTTCTGTTTAATACTTCAAATGTTGCACAGTGCTGCTTTTTAATTTTTTCCTCACAACATTTTTCTTTGCTATCAGTTGCCAGAGGTTCATCTGCACATAACTTTGTAAACTTTTGTTTATTTTATTGGTAACCAGTAAGCTGTATATTTTTTTTATTGTAGCTCACTGGATTTGGTAATACTATGGGTAATTGAGTGATTTTGAAAACAGCTACTGTACTGTACAAGAGTTCAGTATTCCAATATTCAAAACTACATTTAATGAACATTTTGGTTTCCTATCTGTTGATTTATGCACAGTGTTTTCTTAGTAGTATAAATGAGAACCTGACAGGGCTGCAAAAATTCCTCAATTTTGAGGATATTTTCTGTTTAATATTGGGTATCTACGGTGGCCCTGAGGTGCAAATCAGAAAACACAACAACACTTGTTGATGTGTTTTTTGATTTGTTGTTGTGTTTTCTGATTTGCTCTTTAGGGCAACCATAGATTTCCATATTAAATGTTGACACTGAATGATGCACTGTTAAATGGTTTTCTACTTAAAAGTCTTAGAAAATTTTGATAGAATGTATGATGCAGACTGCATCATAGCATATAAGCTATAAGCATGTTTTCAAGCAGCTGTGAAAGTCATTGTTATTGGGAATACAGTATTCCAATAAATCCAGTCTGTTGTGTTGTCTTTTTCCAAACTTGACACCAACTGGGGGTAAACTAAGTTGACACGTTTAGACTGCTAAATGTAAACATTGTTGATATGTCAAAACTGTGTTTTTCTGAATAATTACTATTTTAGAGTTTATTTTCACATAATAAAAATGTTTGTCTCAGTTTAAATAATTTCTGATGATTGAACTTAAGTGTTGTTCAGTCAGCATGATTAATTAGTGTTATTGTACAACTTACAAAATGTAGCTGTACCTACCATGTCAAAATAAGTTATCCATAATCATATTATACAAGTTAATGTGACCCAAGACAATTGAGTCAGATCCTTCCTTAGTAAATATGTTGAAACAACTTTTACAAATTAAGTTGGACGTCTCCGTTTCAGCACGACAAAGGGTGCACACTTCAGAGCTATTTTTGTCTTCCATCTGCCAAACAGAGGCGGCCCATTTCCGCATTCTAAGGCGGATGCGGTGCGCAATAGTAGTAGTGTAATTTGATTGTTTAATTAAATGTTTGTTTACAATGTTTCGTCACAGATACGTTGCTGTGGTGTTAATTAAATATGGGTTAAAATGTTTAATTTAGTGATGAGTAGGCTATATCAATGTAAAAGGTTAAAAACTGTTCATTCATGAGAAAGTGTGTTTTGTTTAAAATGTTATGTCATTCATAACGCCCAGTGAGAGGGGCTTCTGATTTTAAAAGATGGCTGCTTGCTATTTTCAGTGCTACTCTAGTCCTGGTTACAGAGGAGGTAACATGTTGGAGACTTTCTTTTTGAAGTGCTCGTGTTTTGTTTGCTCATTCATGTGGAATTTTGTTTTTGGAAGCTTTTTGTTTTGTAAATAATTTAAATACAATTTTTTCCTGTTTTTGCATTTTTTTTTGTAAATATCTGTCACTGCATCTTTTTTAAAAATAAAAAATACATCAATCGCAGTCTTCAACTACGCCTGTGTTTTCATGATTTTTTGGGTGTTTTGAAAGAGGACCCCGTCACAGTTCTCCATCAGAAGGTTGTTATGAAATCCCCTCTTCACACCGTTCTGCGTCAGACCAGTTTAGTCTGATACCGGCCACATTTCAAAAGTAACGAGAGCTGACAAACAAAATAAACAAACCTACATGTGGTTTGTAACTAAGATTTACAGATAGTCACAAGCAGTGAAAGTGCTGTGAAAGCACTCTAACCACTGGACAAAGGGCATAACCGCTTATCCGGCGTCCCAAGTGTCAATATTTCTAACTCTGAAACAAAGCAGCTCATAGCACACACTGATACTGAAACACTGATCCTCAGGGGGTTTTGTTTTCACTTTGTCTCAGTGACACGTTGGTTGGACTCCACGCTGATCAACGTGTGATGTCACTCTCTTTTGTGACGTTACCGCAGCAGTAACTTGTTTCAGGGTCTTCACACTCCTGTCTCCCATCACTCCTGCTTCTCCTCTTCTGATTGGATGGCTGTTCCTCTCCTCACCATTAACTGACCACTCGTCCTGACACGAGGCTATTAATTTGTGTTACACACTCGTCAGACACTTCACCGCCCCCTCCCTCCCTCCCTCCCTCACTCCCTCCCTCAGTTACTCACTCTCTCTCTCCTTCTTCCCTCTCCAGCTGCACTCCAACTCTGACAAGGCCGATGGTTCCGTGAGGTACATCCTGTCCGGTGAGGGGGCCGGGTCCATCTTCATCATTGACGAGACATCAGGTAACATTCACACCGCCCAGAGCCTAGACCGAGAGAGGAAGTCCCAGTACGTGTTACACGCGAGGGCCATCGACAGGCGGACGAACCGCTCGCTGGAGGCGGAGTCAGAGTTCATCATCAAGGTTCAGGATGTCAACGACAACGCTCCAACGTTTCCTGATGGACCGTTCTCAGCGTCCGTGCCTGAGATGTCTGATGTTGGTAAGCAGCGAGCCTTTAACACATTTTCCTGACAAACTAACAGGAAGTCAGTCCAAACAGGAAGCTCACTATTTACGACAGTTTACTTTGATAAAAGTCCCAACAGTGAACACGTCAAGAGTCCTGCTGGTAACGTCTATTGTGAATATTCTGTATGTTTGATACTCTGCCAGGGGGGAAACCAAGAGTTGTAAATATATTTTAAAAACACATCTACAGCATGTCCTGCAAAATCAGCAGAGAGGCTCTGCTCCACCCACAGGGGGTGCCAAAATCAGCACTACTGAAAAGTTCCCAACACAAGCTTTAAAATGTGGCTTCCAACATAAGCCAGTGAAAGTAAACACTGTTTAGGATATCTTCATTACCTCTACTGTTCACTCGGTTTGTGTCCCGACAATTCTTTCAACCATAAAACCACAGTACGAGTTCCTAAACATGAACTTAACTCTCTATTGGCAGGTCTTCCTACATGCACTATCAAACCTCTGCAAATGATACAAAATGCAGCAGCACGACTGGTCTTCAACCTTCCTCAAAGAGCACATGTCACTCCGCTGTTCATCTCCTTACTGCTCGCATCAAATTTAAAACTCTGCTGCTCGCTTACAAAACAGCGACAAAAACATCTCCTCCTTACTTTAACTCTCTGATCTAGGTCTACACTCCCTCCCGCCCACTACGCTCTGCCAATGAAAGGCATCTGATCCAACCTTCACAACAGGGTACTAAGACGCTGACTAGACTCTTCTCCTCTGTCGCCCCCCGGTGGTGGAATGAACTTCCAAACTCCATTGGATCTGCAGAGTCCCTCTGCACCTTTTAGAAAAAGCTAAAGACCCAGCTCTTTCATGAATACCTACTAACTTAATGATGATGGTCTCCATATTATTGATGATGATGATGGTAATGACGACTGACAAGATGGTTTCTATACTGATTAGAGCTCTCAAGAACTACCCTCAATGTTGTGCTTTGCCTCTGGTCACTTCCTGTCAGCACCTGTGTGTCCAATCGGACTCAAAGCTGATCGTTTGCTCTTACTGACATTGTTCCCTTTTTCTAGATCCTTGCTTGTGTTGTACTTACTCTCTGATGTACGTCACTTTGGATAAAAGCGTCTGCTAAGTGAATTGTAGAATTGTAGAACTCTTGGTTATAAAGAAAATGCCATTAGGATCTGAGGCTGCGATCAAACGTACTTTAGACTGACTGGCGGCGCGACCGGTCGCAGCGGCCCCTCTCTCTCCCGATAGAGCAGTGTTTTCTTCTTTTTCTAACTTGTCTTTTGACTTTTCTCCATGTTTTACTATGGAAAAACACAATTACAGCCGTCGACTTTTAACTGGACTTAAACAGTAACAGCCTTTCTGTGGAGATATTACCCGAATCACTGAGACAACAGCTTCAAACTTTGGGACTGCTTCGCGAGCCAGTTTACCCCCCGGAGAGGAGACGTAAACGTAAACGGTGCGAGCGGAAACAAAAGCGAGGTAAACATGGAGGCATAAGAGCGAGACTGGCTAAAATACCACACAGGTCCGCTCTTCCAACTCTTCTACTGGCAAATGTAAGATCTCTGGACAATAAAATGGACCATATAGAGCTACTGAGAGCTGCGCACCGCGACGTGAGGGACGGCTGTGCGTACATTTTCACAGAGACATGGCTGAACGAACGCATCCCAGACTCCGCCGTTCAGCTTGAACAATTCACATGCTACCGTTCGGACAGAATCCTTATTAAAGGAGGAAAGAAGAAAGGTGGTGGAGTCTGTGTTTACATCAGTGATGCTTGGTGTTGAGATGCTGCTGTGGTATGTAAACACTGTTCACCGCTGGCAGAGTTTATGATCATAAAGTGCCGTCCTTTCTATCAACCGAGAGAGATAACACCCTACTGGTCGCTGTGTATATTCCCCCCACCACCAACAACGCTGATAGAATCGACACACTTTGGGAACTTTACAACACCATCAGTGAGCAACAGACAGCCCACCCAGACGGATTTTTCATCATTGCTGGGGATTTTAACCATGCAAATCTCAAGACAGTTTTACCCCACTTCCACCAACACGTGACCTTTCCCACAAGAGAAGGTAACATTCTGGGCATGATTTAAACATCAGTTAAAGGTGCTTACAAAGCTTCACCCCTCCCCCACATTGACCATATCAGTATAATGCTAATGCCAGCTTACAGACCCAGGGTTAAAGTCACCAAACCAGTTTTGAAGCAGGTATGTGTGTGGCCAGAGGGGGCCTCTGCTGCACTACAAGACTGCTTTGATACCACAGACTGGGAGATGTTTAAGCAGGCAGCCACCTACAACAACCACACAGACATTGAGGAGTATTCTGACACTGTTACCTCCTACATTAGCAAATGCATTGCTGATGTCACCACCACCAGAACCATCACCACCCGGGCTAACCAGAAGCCATGGCTGACAGGAGAGGTACGCGGGCTACTGAAGGCCAGGAACACCGTCTTCAGAGCTGGGGACGCAGCCTGCCTGAGAACAGCGAGGGTCAACCTGTCCCGTGGCATCAGGAAAGCCAAACGCAGCTACACACTAAAAATAACCGGACACTTCATGGACAGCAGAGACGCGCAGAGCCTGTGGCGTGGTATCCAGACCATCACGGACTACAAACCCAAGCCACAGACCTGTGACAGCAACACCTCTCTGCTGAACGACCTCAACAGCTTCTTTGCCAGGTTTGAAGCACACAACAGCACGCCCCCACAGAAGACCACCCCCCCTCCCCACGACCAGACCCTGTGCTTGACTGCAGCCAGAGTGAAGAGAACCTTCTCCAAGATCAACACCCGCAAGGCTGCAGGTCCAGACAACATTCCTGGCCGTGTGCTGAAGGACTGTGCAGAGGAGCTCAAAGATGTCTTCACAGACATTTTCAACGCTTCTCTGAGTCAGGCTGTTGTTCCGTCGTGCTTCAAAGCCACCACCATCATACCCGTTCCAAAGAAGCCCTCACCATCCACTTTCAATGACTATCGACCTGTTGCACTGACCCCCATCGCCATGAAGTGCTTTGAAAGGTTAGTCATGGCCCACATCAAATCCACCCTCCCCGCCACCCTGGACCCCTACCAGTTTGCATACCGAGGTAACAGATCCACTGAGGATGCCATCTGTTCTGCTCTTCACCCAGCCCTAACACACCTGGACACCAAAAACTCATACGTCAGAATGCTGTTCATAGACTTCAGTTCAGCATTCAACACCATCATCCCTCAGCAGCTGATCGGCAAACTGGACCAGCTGGGGCTCAGCACTTCCCTGTGCAACTGGCTGCTGGACTTCCTCAGCGAGAGGCCTCAGACAGTGCGGGTCAGCGGCAGCACATCAAAAACCACCGTCATGTGCTCCTTCTACAGAGGCACCATCGAGAGCATCCTGACCAGCTGCATCACTGTGTGGTTTGGGAGCTGCACTGCTGCCAACCGCAAGACCCTGCAGCGCACAGTGAAGGCTGCTGAAAAGATTATCGGTGTCCCACTCCCCTCTCTTCTGGACCTCTACAGTACCCGCCTCACCCGCAAAGCAACCAGCATTGTGCGTGACCCCACCCACCCCTCACACAGCCTCTTCAGCCTCCTGCCATCGGGGAGACGGTACTGCAGCCCGCGGTCCGGCTCCACCAGACTGGGAAACAGCTTCTTCCACCAAGCTGTCAGGAAGCTTAACTCTCTCCCTTCTCTTCCTTCCCTCCCCTCTGCCCCCACGAACACTGGACGTTGAAACCCCCTCCCGTTTGCCACCAAGAACTCTGGACTAATAACTCTGAAGCTAACTATTCAAAAGTACACTCAGTTTACTGCACATAGCACATATTGCACAAGTTCATGTTTTCTTTAAATTTCATTTTATTTTATTTACCATTTTGTACCTTTTGCACAATTTAGAATTTATTACTGTAAATATTATTTATCTTATTTTTACCTCATTTTATTTATCTATTTTACCTTATCTTATTTTACCTTATTTTGGTTGTATTGCACCGCGGGACGGAGACAAACGAAATTTTGATTCCACTGTATGTCTGGCACATTTTGAAATTGACAATAAAGTTGACTTTGAACTTTGACTTTGTACTTCTTTTAAAATTTTAAAGATGGTGCATGAGTTTTTATATCTCCAGGTTGTTCTTACGAAGAGTGTCCCATAGTCACCGTGTAGATATCTTAAGTTCTGTCGAGAGAATGAGACGATATATTTGACAGGTGATGATGTTGGCTGAGGCTCACTGTGATGAATATAATCATCAATGAAGCACATGCAACCCAGAGACAACTCCACGTGTGCAGTGATCCTTCTTCTGAAGAGGATTATGTAAACACACCGTGAAATAATCGAGACAGACACCTGCTGAGAAGCTCGGCCCGGAGGAGAGAGTGCAGAATAAATAAATGAAACAACTCTGCAAACAACCACAGAAGTTTCCTCTCTCTCTCTTTTTACACGTCTCCCTCTGGGAATCCTGCTGATTCATCTCCATCAACATCTGCAGTGTTTGCATCACTCAAACTGGGTACACCATCGCCCAGCACGCAGGTATTATGATCTGTCTCACGGCTAACGGGAACAATCCGACAGCAGAGTACATCCCTGCCGATATTATTCAGAACAGATTGAGGCGTAACGTTAGCCTGTATCGTTAGCGGTGTCTTCGTTGTCTCATGTTTAGTGGCTGCGGGAAGTCGTCTAACCCGAGTTATGTCTCAGGTTTGATATGAATAAATCAATAAATCTTTAAGTTAGCTTCATAAGTTTTGAACCTTACAAACTTATCTCAACTGGCATGTCATCAATGAGCCTCTCCAGCGTAGCCACGGCCTGTAGTCGTCATGGTAACAGTTGGATACACTTCACATGCTAACAGTTTGATAATACAGGCTGATGATGCTAGCAGAGTCCCCTCCCCTCTCCTCTCCTCCTCCCCCCTCCTCTCCTCTCCTCTCCTCTCCTCTCTCAGT